AAACGTAGCCACAGTGCTCTTTAATTTGGGGAAGGCCTGGATGGACCTTGGTGAGAACAGGAAATCAGTCGACTACCTCGAACAGGCACTGTTGTTGTACAGGGGAATTTACGGTCAGGCCACACCACATCCAGACGTTGCCCTCTTATTGGCGACCATGGCACGCGTCTGGCTCAACTTAGCTGATCGTAGGAAAGCTATCAGGCACCACGAACAGGCATTACAGATGTACAGGAGTATCCATGGTCAAATAACGCCACACCCTGACATCGCCAACATCCTCTCCGACCTAGGGGTAGCCTTGTGTGGTCTTGGTGATCACAAGACAGCAAAAAGCTACTTTGAAGAGGCACTGCAGATGTTCAGGCGTATACATGGCCAGAGTACAGCACATCCCAACATTGTCAACTTACTTACTAACATGGGGGCAAACATGGCCTTTCTTGGTTGTGAAACAGAAGCTTTGAGATTGTACGAAGAAGCGTCAATTATGACAGTGAAGCTTGAGCCATCAGACATAAGGAACTCATTAATGAAACAGATTGAAGAGAACCTGAAAATATAGAATATTTCCCCTCTACGCCAAAATACGTCAGACAAAATATAACAACCATGATCTGAAGTATCAAATGAATGTATGTTTATTTTTTAACTACTTAGTTATGTTGTATAGCTCATGGATCGTTTGAAATGAAAGCTTCTACATGGGATTTTTTGCCTTGACATTCCTTATTGTTTCATTTATAAGAATGTTAGAGAATGTAGAGTATTCCACATTTGGGTACCATGTATCAAAATATTTTGAGTCATTTAGAGAGTTTTCCGTTATGTGTAAATAATGTGCCTCACTTATTATGTGCAGATGCTTATTTACATCTATACTGTAACTTAACAAAGTTAAAAAGTAAATAGATATGTACATGGTCCTAAATAAAAAATAATAATAATATTTTTCTTTGGCATTGAAGCTTGAGCCATGAGACGGAAGGGACTCATTAATAAAAAAAATCCAAGACAGCCTGGAAAGATAGAATGTCTCCCCTTTATGTAAAAAGCTCAATGTATCTCTATGTAAAACTTAATCATGTAAAGCATGTATATTTAACAATATAAGCATTTTGTTATCTCGTGTAGCTCAGTCAGAGGGAAATCTACCTCGAATTTTTTTCTTCCCTTATTGTTTAATGTATGAGTAGTGTGTGTCCTACACCACAATACCACATGTATGCAGGCAGGCAAACAAACCAATACGTAAAGTATTTCACATTTATTTACCTGTTTAACATGTGTTTAATATAAACAAGTACTTAGGCCACACCAATTTAATTTCTTGGTTAACGGATTTTTCCAGAAAAATAATGGAGCGGGCGGGCGAAAAAAAAAATAAAAGCAGGCCTAGGTATCCTATTATGGCCCAAAATGGTACGGTAGGAGCCATGATGTCACCACACCAGGCTGGTTCAAAATTTAAACAATGAATTTTGAACTTTTAATGATACCATTGCATTGAAAGATGGAATAACTGTAACAAGTAGGATGAAAAGGACTGTTTTCAACTGTTCAGGGCAAAATATGAGCATTTTGCAGTTGATTCTGAATTTTTATTTTTATTTGCAAATCAGAAAAAATGAAGAGGCGATTCCGTTAACCAAGAAATTAAATTGGTGTGGCCTTAGTGTAAATAATTCGCCTGAGACATTATATACAGACATGTATAAGAAAAATGAACATATATGTAAAAACGTGTAATATAAGTCTTTTTCGTCAAGACCTTCTGGTGTTAAATACAAACCACATGCTTTTAAGCAAACGGTTGCATGCTACAGATTTTATCTATATTGCGTGGACTATGTATTTGTTTAAACACAAGCTTCGATAATTCGTTGCTTCGATGACATGCCAAGATTTATTTTTATCATCTCAATAATTCTGTTCCAAGGGCTAGCAGACTGGAATTCCCTCGGTTTTTCCAACTATTGCAAATATGCACACTTGTAAGACTGCAGTTAACAGTCATCTTGAAGACCGATCGTACCATACAGTGTATTTTTATAAGCATTATGTTACTAATGGCATATTCACGAGGAGGATAATGTGTAATGAAATATATTTGGCAGTAACATTTTAGTTCATTGATTGATTAATTGATTGATGTGATGTAGTTGATTGAGCTGAGCTCCATCGATTATACAACCTGCCTAAATGCCTAGGCCAGAACTGGCCCCTTGCACCTTTTCACTTTCTCCCTCCAGGCAGCACGTTCCTTCGCCTTCTGTTCTGCGACCTTGAGGGGCCATCCAGTGTCAGACACTATTTGGTCCCGCCATCTTTTGGGGGGTCTTCCTCTGGGTCTGGGATTATTAAAATCCTGATGGTAGGCCCGGTATACAAACGAGTCTGGGGGTCTCCTCTGTACATGGCCGAACCACTTCAGTCTTCTTTTACGGATGTTGTCAATAATTGTGCTCTCCACTTTAAGCATAGCGCGTATTTCCTCATTTCTTATATGGTCTCTCCTTGAGACCTTCAGGATAGCCCGTAGACATCTCATTTCAAATGCCAGTAAGAGTTGTTCATCAGTTTTTTTCAATGTCCACGTCTCACAGGCATATGTAGCTATTGGGAAAATAAGGGCATACAGCAGCTGGACTTTCAGGTCAGGATTATACAACGGAACACAGTAAATTTGATTTCAAAAGTTTGAACAGGAGACGTGTATAGAGAAAAATAGTGCAGATGATATGTCAACCCTATCTAGACGGGGGGGGGGTGCCAAAGGTGCCAGCTAGAACCACCAAACTTAGTGACTTTTCCTAAAATAATGTTGGCAACATTTTTATATTATTAGTGTGTTAACTTAAAACTTTCTGGTTTTCTAGTTTAGAATTTCTGTACATAAAGCAAAGCAATCATTTTGTAGAAACTAAGGAAATGAATATGCAGAGGAAAACAGAAACCTACAATATTTTTTGAATGGTTTTCCTAGAATTGTGATGAATACAATTAATAAAGACAATCAACGATCAGAAAACATACATACATAATTGAATAAGGACATATACACAAGAGAGGACGTAAAGAAACATGCCATAAATTAAAGAAGATCGAATTTGGTTGTATGTGTGTGCGTGCGTGAGTTTTTAAGTTTTTAAATTATAATTACACATCACAAAGATACTGTGGTAGCACTGAACAGTGGTTTTAGATTATCTTTGGGGACAGCTAAATCAATGTAGTCAACAATAATTATTCTATCTCTATTTTCATAAAAACAAAATTGTCGTTGTCATAGACTTGGCACTTTTAGTGAAAACGAGCAAGCTAGACAGATAAACATACGTACAATGTTCCTATATTATTATCTGTGTTTTTTTTTGCCTTATTGGAAATGTTCCAAAGTCAGTAAAAGTGTATCACATTGACTAGATTACATTTTTGTCGTCACCACCAACCCTAACAGATATTGTCGTTTGCAAAAGAAAACAAAGTGCTGAGACTCTTTTATGTGGAATTTTCTTCCTGGTTGGAAAATCTCCAATGTCAGCAAACCGTAGAGGATACATTGCTGTAGGGATGTTATGAAAACATGAGCCAGGACTGTCATCAAGCACCGGGGTGTCAGGCGTTCCACTTGTCTATCTTACCTGCAACGGTATGTAATGGTAGATGAATTTCAGAGGCCCACATGACGAGGTACTATTTCCTCTCAGCCAACCTCAACCCACACGGGTGAACGTTTATCAGTAGACGTTTATCAGTTAGACAGTTAGACGTTTATCAGTAAGCGTGTCCTCCTTTACAGGTGCAAATAATGACACGGCAGGTGAGGAATGTAATAATATAAAAGCAGCGTGGTCGATCAAATGCCTGCCTGTATTAACAAGTAACAGAGCGGCTAAGTATAGGGCTAGAAGATAGGCAAAAAAAAACAGGTTGACAATGCAGAAGCCCCTACCGTACCACTTTTTCTAGTAAACTGTCATATAGATCTATAAACAGAGGAAACAGACAATAACTTGCAATATTAAATACTGAACTATTGTTTGTCGTAAGAATTCCCCATGAACTGGGCTTTAAAACTGATAGGATTGTGTACACCGCCATTTTCCGGCTTTTGAATTTACGAATGACGCATAACGTTGAGTTATTGTGCACTGTGGACCGGCTCTAACAAAGGTGAACAGCTAGCTACGCCTCACGGAACAAGGAATGCAATAACAAAAAGCTGTTTTTGTTGTACACACGATGAATGTATATAAGTTATGCAAACACACATGCAGGTCCAGTGCAGTATGACCACCAAGTCAGTGGCCACCATGGTGCATTTATGGCGTCACATTTGCTTCCTATGGCATGTGTCCCTTCCAAAAAATATGGCAAGGAATCTTTTTACGAATACGAAAAGCTAATATGTTTGAGTGTAAGGTGTAACCTACAAAATAAATTCTGTCGGCGTATGGGCCTGTAATGTATACTTTGAAAGCGCCCTCTGCGAAGGTCAATTGAACTGCAGTAAGTTGCGTAATACGGCGCATTTATACACCAGCTGAAATTCCGTCACAATCTAAGCCTAAACATGTTTCTTTACTACATAGCGCAATTTTACATCTGACGACCTCGCCCATACACATAAGACTTTCTACCCGGGATTCAAGATTTCTTTTCCGTACAATTTACTTTACTTGCGTCATACAAGAGGTGAAACTTGGCCAATTTTTTTCATTTGACAAATCCAAACGTTTGCCAAAGTTGAGGGGCCATTTATATGATAATGGCCCGGTCAAATCTACTATTATGGTCATCATTCTCTTGTCAACGGCGATCATTAGTGCACACCCTAACCTTTTGAATTATAATGTGGAGTAAGTGTAAGCCGTGGCAAGGTTGGGAGTGACCGGGCAGTGTTCGAGAGGCCATCGGCCATGTGTGACGGGGCTTCAGAGTGGGTTGGTTTCAACAACAGTGTCATCGACCGCTACACTTCACGGACCGATCACTATCGGAGCTTTGCAACATACCGGAGAGCCTTTTTTTGTTGTGTATGCAAGAAGATATGCCAGGTGAGTATTTCATTATGCAAGCACACGCACGAGATATAGCTAAGTCCTGCGCAGGTTGACTCAGTCAGTCGCCACCATGGGGCCTCTGTGGCGGCGCGTTTTTCTGGTCTCTCTGCTGTTACTTGGATTTTTGTCCGGTGTAGTTTCTGACGACATAGGTGGATCATACAACTGGGACCACACGATCAGCCTGTCGGGAAGTCCGTACAGCGTCACCGATGAAATCATCGTCGGTGAGGCGGCGACCCTGACGATCGAGCCGGGGGTTCGGCTGTTGTTCCCGGAGGGGGTCGGCATGACCGTGTGGGGACGGCTGATAGCTGTGAGTGTAGACAAATTTTTCTGTCAGGGCGCACTGTTTCCATAGATGAGAAACCGTAAAATAAACAAAACCCACAGAAGTAAACGTTAACAGGAAACTTTACAAGGAGTAACGGAAGAAATTCACAAGCTATTCTAAATAACTTACTTTTGGCATAGTTATTTATTATTATTGATAAGCTTGTGCACGTCCAAGAGAACTTTCTAATTCACTTTTTTTAGGAGTTTGAAATATTGGTGTGTTTTCATCTTCGTCACTACCTTCGTCAATGACACTAGAGTACTTGTGCAGAAATGCAGGTCTATAAGATTTGATATGCAGATAAGTAAAGACAACTTTTTGGAGGTCCAAAAGGAAACAAAATTTAGACAAGTCAAGACATGGATCATGGAAAAGCTCCTGTTGTTTAGAACGTGCGCTTAAGTGTTGTCTGTCCTTAGGGCTTGGAGCGCCAAGTCAAAAGTACCTGAGAGTTCTACCCCCGCTCCTTGTTTCGTTTGGGGTTGTACATTCTTTCATATATTACCTCTCTAACGCCTTGTTCCCACCAGCGGATTCCGCGGTCTAAGATATCCGTGGACTCAAGAAAGAGTGTTCCTGGCTGTGCTGTATGTAGATGGTGGAAAATGGCCGAGGACTAGCCGTTAGCGCTAGGTCTGTAGTGTCCCCTGTACTTTACTTTCAGCGACCGACTGGTCTGTCCAATGTAGTTGTTGCAATTGGGCCACCCACATCTGAGTCTGTAAATGACATTAGCCTTTGTACCTTTTTGAGATCGGTCTTTTTGGGTGTACCAGTTTTTGTCTGAGGGTTGAGTGAGGTTTAAAGGAGTACTAACCTCCAGAAGGAAGTGCTGTTTTCCAATACATCATGCAGCAATGAATACATAACTAGCCGACTTTTTACATAATTTCGCTTGTACGAGTTGCGCGCCGCATGTTTGTAAAGTGATATTAATATCATTTTCCCCCATGCTGAACCACAATTGATACATCCGGAAACTCTGGCTTACGCAATACTCATACACTTCAAGTCAACATAAACATTTTTCGGCGAAAATGGTAGGAGACAAACACACTAACAAGCTGATTATTGAGAAATTACTTGTTTTACTTTGCTTGACCTGTGGCTTTGATACTATTATATCAGGATGTCGAATACAGTGGGCGCCAGTTTCATCCTGCGTGTTTTGATTTTCTCAACGTATTTGCATGTAACTATTAATGAAAGTTTATTGCAAATTCATGCCCGAGGGCTAATTGCAAGAACATGATAACAACAGTAAACAGTAGAATGATAATAAGTGATGCTAATGCTACTTTATATATACATTTGTATGTACGTAGTTATTGTTGGGTTTGATTTCTTTTCCGTGTGCAGTGGAGTATGAAATAGCTGACGTTTTGCGAGATATATAAATTGGGAGGTGTTAATAGAAATGAAGTTTTTTGTAGGCTGGGAAGGTGAATAAAGCTGGGGAACATTTTGGTGACCATTTCAAATAACTGATCTCTTTCGGTGCTATAATGAGAGCAATGACAAATAAAGTGCATTTCATCCTCCACTGCGTTTCCTGTACAATATTTACATATTCTGTCGTTAACAGGTAATTGTTTGTATCTACCCTTTTCTATTTCTAATGTACAATGTATGAGCGCTAACTCTTAGCTTACATATGGCTGATCTAACATCGAAGTCTTTGATGTGAAGATAACGTTCCATTGTGTATACAGGTTTCAGATGTCTATAAAATCTTAGCTTACCGACATCAACAGAGAGATTATAAAGAAAGGTTTGGATATACATGTCAGAGAGTCTACTTCTAAGTAATGTACATATGTGTTGCTTATCGAGATCGATGTTGTCGTCATGCCAGATATATGAGAAACCACTGCGGTCAAGTATTTCTTTCACATGGTGTAGCACAGTTTTCTTGTGACCAAGCATTAACATATGTTTTTGAGATAGTAAAGCGTCGACTTGTAGGGGATGTGTATTAGCGTCTAGTTGCCTCAGTCTTAGCCAATACTTGACTAGGCGTACAGATACGTCTTTGTCTAGTGACAGTCTACCGAGCTCTGCTTTGCATGCTCCGTTGCTAGCATTTCTGTGTACCCCAAGAATGTTTTTACAGAAGCGATTATGGACAGATAATTAGATTACGCCACTTATGGAAAGGATAACTAGATTACGCCGTTTTTTTCATCGTCAATATTTGCGGCATAAATGAGGGGCGATAAGGACACCAAGAAGGGCAATGGTCGGTAAGATACCAAAGAACACAAAACGGTACGAATTTTTCTTATCGCCCCCGAAATGAGGTCTGTAACGTAACTTTTTGTTTAAAACATAGACACCAATGGAGTAGCGTGGTGTATTCTGGGATAGTTTTGAGGGTATTTGGAGAGTTTGTCTTGGATTCGATGCGTTTTAAGACTTGCGCGCAAAATGGGCATTTAATGGTATACTGTAAAATAATATGCATTTTTCACTTCCAAAAATAAATGCCTGTCAAAATATAGCACCCTCTTCTGGAGGTTAGTACTCCTTTAAAGCTTGTGGCAATGTTAAAGGTTTGGAAGATCCATCGGAGTTTATTGGATATTCTTTGGATATACGGAATAGTGATGTTGACCTTGTTTCTGTTGGTCAATGGTTTGCACTTCTGTGTTTTCTTGAACTGAGCAAAAGGTTCAAGAGTTTTGTTGGAAGTCCATCTCGGAGGTGTCTATGTTTGTTTTAGCTTTGTGATGATGTTGTCTGCCCGATGGAAGAGAGATTTAATCACTGTTAGTGTGTGTTTCAAAGGGGGATGGGAATTTAAGGCCTGGTATTGATCAGTGTGGGTCGGTTCCCGGTATACTTCAAAGCGAAGGTTGCCATCTTTCTCCACGATAGTTTTCGTGTCTATGAAGAGAAGCGCGTTGTCATGGCTCAGCTCCTGTGTGAACTTGATGTTTTCATCTACTTAGTATGTCGTCAACGTGATCGAAGCATTCTTTTTTAATCTGTACCAAGTGTCGTCTACATCTTGACAGACAACACTTAAGCTGCATGGTCTGTAACAACAGGAGCAGTTGACTAATTTGCACAATCTTTGTCTTATCTAACTTTTGTTGTTTCTTTTTGGACCTCCAAAAAGTTGTCTTCACCTATTCGCATATCATTTAATAGTTCCTGGTTTTAAAACTGCATTTCTGCACAGGTTCTCTGGTGACACTGACGATCATTCCGCCGCTACTTAAAACGTTTTACCGTTTCCATATCGAGTTGCTTGAGTAACTGTTTTTGGCGTATCTTATTACCCGGATTTCCAAACTTAATCAACGTACTTTTTATGTCCTTCCCTTCATACTCCAAAATGTGAAAATGTTGCTGTTTGATCTGACGTTCATAGACGACTGACAATAACCAAGGATCCATGTCAAAGTAGTTGAAATTCTAATACTTGCGGCATACTTTTGATAGGCGTTCTATGGTCATAGACTTTAACTTAAAACGAAGTCACAAGTATGATTCTGATGAGGTATGTTGTCAGTTGTTAAGGTGGTTAGTTTAGGTTTAAGTGCCAATAGTCTTTTAAATTCACTCTGCTAAAATGATAACTTAATTATTAACTAAAACAAGACATGGCTGAAATACTGGGGTTTTTTTTATAGCTTGCAATGTTGCGATGAAATGGAATGTTCACGTGTTTGTTAAATGATAGAAGATATTTTAGACATCTTAATCGTGTTTGAAAATCATGGCAATTTTATGCATAACTATCTCTTGTAATGTCATTACTGAGCATGTATCAGATTAAGATGAAACCTTATTTCCTACGTAATGGAAAATTTCTCTAATCGCATAGCGGTAACTCCCAGTCAGTTCATACTTGCCGAATTTGAAATTTAGGTGAAGTTGAACATCATGATTTATAGAAACAATTTATTCCTAACTTTCTCTGGAACTGAAGGGCAGTTTGTTTAAAAATCTTCGAGGGAGGATAATTTGATTGAACCGATTGAAAGATCGCCGTTAGTTTTAGTTGTCAAGATGTTCCGTAACATTTATGCCAGACCGTTCTCATGGCTAATACACAAGCCAGTCCACAGTTAGACATCGTAAGTTCAAATCTCAGGTTTGCCAAGAATCTTATCTGGAATTTTCTTCCTTATTGGAAATGCTCCAAAGTCAACAAACAGTGGATGGTGCATTGTTTTATGGATTGTGTGAAAACATGAGACGGGGCTGCCATCATGTATCATGTGCCTGTAACGGTCATGGATGATAAGTTTAAAAAGTAACGTTACACGGCCATTCCCGCTCAGCCAACTTAAACGGCCACGGTTGAACCAACTGTTTTGGTCATGTCATCTAAGAGCGTGCCAGTTGCAAACAGTCAGCTACGGTGGTTTTAAGTGGGGATCGGTGAGTTTCTATAACGAGTGGTACGACAGTACTGGGTGTCTTTTTTGTGCGAGTTTGTCTTCCCGTCACAGACAGACTAGTTGGAAGTGGCCAGTATGGGAACTCTGGATTCATCGGGGATCTTGCAAACGCTCTGCAAATCTAGATATGTGGACCCGTTGATCTGATAATGATGTTGGATTCAAGGACTCCGTTACTAATTCATATTTGTAGTAGAGAGAGCCAATAATGATCTCACAGGCCATCTTTTGGACACATTCCAGGCTTGTAATTTGCTGTACAGTCAGAGACAAGTGCCATGCTGGTGCTGCGTACTCAAGGGCTGGTCCAACGTAAGCGGTAAAGACAGTTGTCAGGTCAGAAGCTGATAATCCAAAACTTTTGAGCCTGCGCAGTAGGTAGAGGTTCTTGTTGGCACGTGGGGTCATATTCCTGACAGGGGAGTCCCATTTTAAGTCATTCCGAACGGTTACGCCGACGACTTTGATGGATTTTTGACACTTTAGGACATAGCCTTTAAGGATGAGAGGATTAGAAAGATCATTTTCCAATGTTGCTGAATATATTGATTGCGACATCATCCGCTTTCTAATACCCCCATTCCACTTAAACGGTGCTCTCACGATGCTCTCACAGTGTGAGCGCCACTAAGTGGTACAGGGGTCTTAGACTCTTAGTCTTTTTGTGAATCATGTAAGATTTTGACATTTTTAGACTGTCTTCCTGTGACATTTACTTTATGTTCCGCGACACTTGGTTTGTAGACTGGGGATTAGAACTACACCCAGACACGTGCAAGGTTGTTTGCATCAAGTTAGATGGAAAGAACGTCCAGCTCCCTCCTCGCTATATCTGTGGAAAAGTCGTCGAACAGGTCCCGTCATATACTCACCTTGGAGTCACCAGCCACCAATCTCTGAGATGGCTTGAACATGTACTAGCACTGTCCAGCAAAGCCAGGAAACTGCTAGACGCTCTCTGCAAACTCAAAGGAAAACTGAGTAGAGAGGCCCTTGAGCTAGCCTACTTCACCATGATTCGATCTAAGATAAAGTATTCATCAGTACTGCTAGGAGACCTCGGCAGTACGGCGAGCGCTACTCTAGACAAAGTCCAATACCATGCTGGGTGCCTTACAACAGGGGCCATGAAAGGGACCCCCAGTACGAGCCTCCTATACGAGAGCTAGAATGGGACAGCCTGTCTACCAGGAGACACTACCACTCCATGGTGTTAATGTACAAGATGACGCATGGCACTTGCAGTCACTCATCCCCTCTCCTAGAGGCGAACAGAGAACCACTCGTCTACAGCTACGCAACACTACACATCGTCCTCCGTATACATGGGCAGTATCTCATCGTCAATATAAGACAAGAAATATTTCCTCTCTTTGTACAGATCGGCACTCCAGAACACAGAATCGTCTTCGACCGGAAGAGGAACCCACCCGACGACCAAGCGAATAACGTGACACGTGACCACAACATCCGGTTGCTGGGTCCTACCGTGTTTGAGGGACGTGTCCAGGTCCAGCGGGATGGAGAGTGGGGCTCTCTCTGCCTGAGACTTGGTTGGAGGTGGAGAAATTCAGAAGCTAATGTAAGTAAACAATTTCTAACATTGAAAAGAAAACTTACCTTTATTGCATGTAATGACATTGCTTAATAAATAATGAACATCACATACCCCTATAGTTTCTTTACGGTCGACTAGTCAAACGAAAATGCATTGAAATTTTAAGGTGGTGTGTCGACAACTGGGGTTTGCAACAGGACGGGTGGAGAACAAGTACCGAGTTGGCAAAGGACGCGTGGCTGTGTGCGAACTACAATGTCAAGGCAATGAGAACAACATCTATGAGTGCATCCACCGTGACCTTAACTTGCCACCTCATTGGTGTCGTGAGTTTTGTTTCAAATTCTTATTATGTAAACAGATGCAACAACGCAAATGCTAAATGTCTGTCAAATGATGATATTGCGCATAAACACCCGTCATGTAAAGGCGAATTGATTATATCAATTCGCAATCGTCACATGTTGGGGGTAAGGTAAGATTGCCATTGGCAGGAGAATATGATTTGTATAATCACTGAGCAAAAATGCCTAATTAGTTTGAACGGTTAACATGATTTAGCGAAAGTATGATGAGGTCATAGAACTCTTGCTGTGTATAAATCCTAAAAATTTGTCTCTAGCTGACATATAATCAACAATACCGTACCTTGTCAATGCCAAATACTACAAATTTCACCAGTGTGTTCCATGTTACTGGGTAGACGCCATGTGAATATTTTGCATAAAAATACGATAATATGCATTACTTAGTGCCAAAAAGCAGTTACTCAAGCAACTGGATATGATTTTTAAAACGTCAGACGTTTCAGCTAGTATCCACTAGCTTTCGTCAGTGACTGAGAGACCAGAGAGGAAATGCAGGTTTATAAGCACAAACTATTGATTGATATGCAAATAAAGTGAAGACAAATTTTTGGAAGTCGAAAATGGAACAAAAGTCAGACAAGTCAAGACAAGACAATGCAAATTAGTCAGAAAGCTCCTGTTAAGCAGAACAGGAGCTTAAGTGTTGTCTGTCCTCGGGGCTGGGAGTGCCAAAAATAAAGTGCCGGAAAGATCCACCCGTAGCCCCCCTTCCCTGTTGAGAGTGGGGTTATACATATATTGCCTCTTTAACACCCCGTTCCCACCAGGGTGTTTCGCGGTCTAAGATATCCGTGGACTCGAGTTTGAAAGAGTGACCCTGGTTGTGTTGTAGGTGGTGGAAAATAGCTGAGGAGCAGTCGTTGGCACTAGGTCTGCAATGTTCTTTGTTTCTTACTTTGAGCGGCCGACTTGTCTCTCCGATGTAGGTGCTGTTACAGTTGGGCTCCTCACATTTGAGTCTGTAAATAACATTCGCCTTGGTATCTTTGTGAGGTCGGTCCTTAGGGTGCACCAGTCTTTGAGTGAGGGTTGAGTGAGGTTTGAAGTTAGTGGCTATGTTGGAGTTTTGGAAGATCCATCGGTCCGGGAGTTTGTCACTCTCGGACTGTCACTCTCGGACTGTGAAACTCTTACCACCGGTGTCCCACAAGGCACAAAGTTGGGGCCAATCATCTTCCTCTGTATGATAAATGATGCCTGTCAATCATTCAATGATCGGTGGAAATATGAAATATGAAATAGAAAATGGGGAACTGGATCAGTATGCAGACGACAGTACAGTACATACAGCAGGGCATACCGTACAGGACATAAAAGCCAAGGCTCTTGTGGATTTAGAATGTGTGGCTAAATGGTCGGACTACAACAGGCTCAAACTTAACAATGGCAAAACAAAGACCATGCTAGTGGGAACTTCTAGGAAGACAAGGCTTGCCCCTGCTCTACAGCTGGAACTCAGGGGGCAGAGTTTGGAGCAAGTGCCTACCGTCAAACTTCTGGGAGTTCATGTGGACCAAAGCCTCACATTCGACGATCACATAGACCACGTTGTAAAGAAATGTAACAGGTGCATGGCCCAAGTGGGTAGGGTGAGAAAATCACTTCCGCGCAAACAGAGGGCAGCACTGATGCAAGCCCTGGTACTTTCCCACCTAGACTACTGTAGTTCAGTGTGGGCAAGTACGTCAGAGAAGAACATAAAGCGGCTGCAAGTGATACAAAACAGAGCTGCGAGGCTTGCCCTCGGATGCAACAGATCCACAAGCAAGGACGCTTTGCTGCAGATGTTGGGGTGGTTGCCCGTGAAAGAGAGGATTCAACAGAAAGACCTTTTGACTTTTCGCAAAATGATGGAGAACAGACAGCCTGTTTCCCTGTATAAACAGATCACGTTTCAGTCACATGGATACCAAACCAGATCAACAAAGTCACAAACTATCCGTCTCCCCAAACCTAGAACAAATGCTCAGAGAAAACGCTTTTTGTATCGGATGTCACACACCTGGAACACTATGAAATTGTAGAGGCATGGAACAATGTGCAATAACTTTTGGAGAAATGTAAAATAGGTATTTTAGATATATGGCGGTCATGTAAGCTAGCTTTGTTTCTGTCACTTGGTGTTTTTGTGGAGTTTCTGTACATGTTTATGTCTGTATAAGTTATTTTATGTGTGTCAGGTGTATATGTTAATTGACCACAGGAAGAATAGCTGCAATATGAATTGTTAAGCTAATTGTGGATCTAAATAAACTCAAACTCAATGCGTATGACCTGTCGTTGGGAGAGAACAGACACAACTCCGAAGACTCCCACCTTCAAGACCAAGCTAACTCCCTGGAGGAGTGGTCTGAGAGTGCACAACTGAAACTCAACCCCGGAAAGTGCATGGTGTTCACAGTGTGCTTTATGAGGAATCCGAGTCCACCTGTACCCATCAGTCTTTGCGGCAACCCCCTAAGAACAGTGAAAATCGCCAAGGTGTTAGGTGTCTGGCTTTAGTCGAACCTAAGATGGGACACGCAAGTGAGTGAAACAACAAAGAAGGGCAACAAACGACTGTTCATGTTTCGCAGACTTAAGTCATTTGGAGTCCCAGTGGAGGACCTTGTAACAGTGTACTGTGGCTTCATAAGACCGATCCGGTCCTTGAGTACAGCGCACCAGTGTGGCATCACGGACTTACTAGTAAACAAACAGCAACAATGGAACGGGTACAGAAACGTGCATGCCGGATTATACTGGGTCATAAGTATACAGACTACACCACGGGACTGCAGATGTGCAAACTAGATACACTCTAGAAGAGACGGGCGGTCCTCTGCACCAAGTTTGCACATAGCATGACAACATCGGAGCGCACAGCAGACCTCCTCCCCAACACACGGCGACAGGATCACGGCAGGAACCTCAGAAACTCTGACAAAATTACTCTTGCGCCTTGCCGCACTGCTCGATTTCAAAACAGCCCTGTACCATCTCTGTTGAGACTGCTTAACAAATAATACGTTGTAAATCGACCACACGCAGATGTATAGTTATTGTAACATTTTATTTTAATCAATATTTGAATACTTGGTGATATTTTATGCTACTAGTATTCGTCATATTGAGTTGTATACTGTGTAATAAGTGAGGCGTACTTCCATGTATTATGTGAATTATGTGAGTGAAACGTATTTCAGCCTGATGGCTGCGATGTTTAACATAATAAACCAGTCATTCGTTCATTCATTCAGTTTCTCAGATACTTCTTGGACATACGGAATAGTGATGTTGACCTTGTTTTTATTGGTCAGTGGTTTGCACTTCTGGTTTTTTTTTAGACTAATCCGAAGGTTTTAACGCTTTGTTGAAAGTCCAGTTTCGGTAGCCACACTTAGCCAGGGCACCTCGGAGGTGTCTATGTTCGTCCGTTTTGGCTGCTTCGGCTGAAGTGATAATGTTGTCTGCACGATGGAAGAGAGTTTTGATCACTGCTAGTTTGTGTATTGATCACCAGGTATTGATCAGTGTGGATTGGTGTCCTGTACACTTCGAAACTAAGGTTACCATCTTCCTCTACGATAGTTTTGGTGTCTAGGAAAGGGAGCATGTTGTCATGACATGGCTCTTGTGTGAACTTGATGTTGTCATGTATCTGGTTGATGTGGTCAAAGAAATCAGCTGCTACCCTCTTTTTCAATCTGCAAGTGTCATCTACATATCGAAACCAGTTGGCCGGGGGAGTGTCATTGAAAGTGCTGAGGGCTTTGTTTTCAAACTTCTCCATGTACAGGTTTACAACAATTGGTGAAACTGGTGATCCCATAGCACAGCCGTGCATTTGTTGGTAGAACTCTCCTTTGTAGGTAAAGTATGTGCATCCAGAGTTCTAGTAGCTCACAAACTTGGTCAACGGATAGGTTGATTCTATCTGCAACTGTATCGTCGGCTTCCCTGACTACTGACACTGCTTCCTTAGGTGGTATGGAGGTGAAAAGTGAGCACACGTCATACGAAGTGATGGTTTCATCATCCTCTACCTGGATGTCTTTGATTTTGTTGACAAAGTCGGCACTATTCTGTACATGGTGCTGAGATTTTCCAACTAGTGGTCCCAAAATCTTAGCTAGAAAACCTGCTAACTCATAGGTGACAGAGCCTATACTGGAGACTGTGGGTCGTAGAGGGACACTTTGTGGATTTTGGGAAGGCCGTAGAAGGCAGATGGTTGCTCCGTTGTGGGATTGAGTTTTAGGTAGGTGGCGCGATCCAGGACTCCTTCAATTTGCAAGTTCTTGAGAGCTGTACTGATTTTCCCTTTAAACTTGTTAGTGGGGTCCTTTTTCAAGAGCATGTAGGTGTCTTTGTCTCCCAATAGGTCCTGTACCTTCCTGTCGTACTGCTCCATGTCTAAGACTACTGTGCATCTGCCCTTGTCTGCAGGAAAAATCAATATGTCTTGATTGGTGGCCAAATCTTTGAGAGTGGTTCGGTCTTCCCGTGTGATGTTACTAGCAGGAGGTTTGAAGACTTTCGGGGTGGTAGCTACTTTGGTGCTCAAGGCTTCAGCTTGTCTCTGTGGTATACGTGCCCGTCTCTGTGGTATACGTGCCCGATGAATTGCTGACTCGGTTTCTGTGACAATGTCAATGTTGGGAATCTTGTTGGGTATAACTGCGAAATTTAAACCTTTAGAAAGCAGTGGTTTCTCTGGTTCTGTGAGAGTATGGCTACTTAGGGCGAACGTCAACATAGCCACTAACTTCAAACCTCACTCAACCCTCAGACAAAGACCGGTACACCCTAATGACTGACCTCACAAAGATACCAAGGCGAATGTTATTTACAGACTCAAATGTGAGGAGCCCAACTGTAACAACACCTACATCGGAGAGACAAGTCGGCTACTCCTCAGCTATTTTCCACCACCTACAACACAACCAGGGTCACTCTTTCAAACTCGAGTCCACGGATATCTTATACCGCAAAACACGCTGGTGAGATCGGGGTGTTAAAGAGGCAATATCAAAGAATGTATAACCCCACTCTCAACAGGGAAGGGGGGCTACGTGTGGATCTTTCCGGCACTTGATTTTGGCACTCCCAGCCCCGAGGACAGACAACACTTAAGCTCCTGTTCTGCCTAATAGGAGCTTTCTGACTAATTTGCATTATCTTCTCTTGACTTGTCTGACTTTTGTTCCATTTTCGACTTCCAAAAATTTGTCTTCACTTTATTTGCATATCAATCAATAGGTTGTGCTTATAAACCTCCATTTCCCCTCTGGTCTCTCAGTCACAGACGAAAGCTAGTGGATACTAGCTGAAACCTCTGACGTTTTCAAAATCATATCCAGTTGCTTGAGTAACTGCTTTTTCGGCGTATCGTATTACCTGGATGTCTAACATTCATCAATGCATTACTTATTATTTGCATGAAATGCGTAGTATTAACAAAATCATTAAACATTTCATGGAGGTTTGAACTCTAGTTTGCTTCTACTTACCTCCATTTTTCCCATTAAAAGGCCAAGGCCAAAACCGAGGAGACCTCGGTGTGGTCTGTGAGGGACTGAACCATAGAGAGAACGTCTATTGGAAGACAATAGACATCCGTACGACCGATGCAGCTATGAAGTCCACACTGCAAAACGTGGATATCCTCTACGCCGGAGGAGCGAATCCAGATGCAGAAAGAGCCGCCATTATCAGCTCATCAGTTGCCCCTCTGTTGCGCAACGTCAACATCAAGTACTCTGGAGACGCAGCGATAAGAATCGAGAACTCAAAGAGCCCTTTTCAAATTAAGAATTGTGACATCTCAGAGAATGTCGGAATCGGGCTGATGATTAAGAACCCTTCAGCAGACGTGACCATTGTCTCCAGCAGCTTCAGTAAGAATTTTCCAGCCGGGATGCAGGTGACAGGAGGACATAACAACTCGAACCTCCAGATCACTGACAGCACGTTTGAACAGAACAGCGGTGCCGGTCTGATGCTGTCTGACGTCCCGATGAACGTGGACATACGTCAGTCTAACTTCAGTACAAACTCCCATCACGGACTCAGTGTGTTCACCACAACCCAAGTCAGCCTTGTGACTGACGGCTGTCACTTTGACCACAACGGTCTGGACGGTTTCCATGCTCGATATCTCGGAGTGTCTGGTAACAGAAGTCACACAGTCTTGCACAATGGCGTGGCAGAAGGTAACGATGGAGATGGATTCAACCTAGACATAGAATACCAGGAGAACCAGAATATCACATCACCAACAATCTCCGACCAGATCACCATAGACCAATCCATCTTCACCTCTAATAAGAACGGCTCGGTCAAAATAACCGTTGAAAACTCTTACGAAGATCGCTTTCCGGTCGTCCAACTCAGTGGCGGAGTCCAACGAGACAACATGGCGACAATTATCGAAGTCGGCGGGACGCGTGCGGAGGTTACAGTACAAGACGTTGAGTTTGACTCCAGTCAATGTGGCAGTAAGTCGGTCATCCATGTACATGGGTACGACAAGACCGTGAACATAACAGGAAACAGGTTTGTTCGCAATGTCTGCCGACGGGTGGTGCTATTCAACACAACTGATGTGTCTGCTGACGCCCATCCCCTTGTTGTGGTGGGCAGCATTTTCGAAAACAATGAGTATGAACCAGAATCGTTGGCACACATCTCTGATCCTCTAAATGAGTACTGCACCATCGAGATTGTAGGATCTGGAGAAGAGCACACAATCACCCAGAATTCGTTCCTAAATAGTCCAGCTGGTTTGGAGCTTTGCACCAGTGACGATTTTCATCGATTGGCTGAAACTCAGATCAGGGCAGAAAGCAATTGGTGGGGAACTACAGATATTGATTCAATAAAAGAGAAGATATTCGACAACAATGATTGGACTAGTGGAGGCCCGGTCAAGTTTTCCCCGTACCTAAGCTCCCCATCTGGTGACCCTATAGACACTATAGGCACAGAAAACATGACAGCCTCCTCGTTAGGCGGTCGTCTGAATGGAACCTTGCGGCTAACCATCTCCGATAGCCCCGTCACCCTGACACGGGACCTCACGATCTTACCGGACTCTGTTCTCATTGTTGACGCAGGAGTTGAGTTCCGTGTACAGGAACGTGTTGGCATCCTCAATCTTGGGAAACTGCAGTTAGAAGGACTACCATCATATCCTATAACATTTGATGTCGTCCGTAAAACTGTGCCCCACCGAACAATTCCAGTTCGGTTAACGGGGGGCACCAACAGTGGGGAGGGGCGACTAGAAGTGCAGTACTCCGGGCAATGGCTTCCTGTTTGCCATGATTGGTTCGGCGAGTTTGCCACGATCGCCTGTCAGCAGTTGGGGCTGGGTTCGTACAAGTCTGAAACTTACAGTTCCGATTCATCAATCCGAAATTGGCTCACTATCCGATGTGACGGATCTGAAGACAACATTGGAGAGTGCAGCTTATATCATACAAGTAGATGCGGGGGTAACTCGTACTATCAACTGAGGTTAACGTGTGATTCCACTGTCGGTTGGGGAGGAATAGCTTCAATCTCGAAACAAACGTTTGAGCCACATGATATCAATCTTTTCCATGTCGGACACATGCATGCACACAAGGCTTCTGGTCTGCTTATACACGGCTCTTCGACATCAACATTCGACATCAACAACGTTGTCATGGCACAATTTGTCGGGTCTTCGTCTGGAATAGAGTTTGTAGACCTGCAGCCTTCCCAACATATCACCTTGCAAAATATAACGTTGATCAATTCTGCCTCAAAAGACGGTAATGGAATCCATATCAACAATGTACATACACATTCCGTACTATGGTGGATACCTGAAATAAATGTACAAGCCAACCGGTTATTTTCAGTTGAACCAATGTGCAGAAGACCGACCCTTCTTTTGCTAAAGGAAGGGCAGCCACAGTGGGTCGTAAATGGGCTGAGGAAGAGAGTAAGGCTTCGATGTGAGAGAACGGTAAAGGCACCAGAAGGATACCATATACGAGTCACGGTAACACAGGCTTACTTCAGCCATCCACCGTCAAGGAACAGACTCGCCATCTATGAGTCTCTTGCATTAAACGAGACTAATGAGATAGCTACACTGCATTGGGGCAAAGAGGTTTACCAATTCAGAAACCCGCTTGTGATCACATCTGCTGGATCTGTGGTCACGTTATTATTACAGGCTTCAAGCTCACAGGATGCATCGTTTCTTGCAAAGTTTGATGTTGTCAGGAAGGGTGATGATGTGTCCGGATTAGAAACCCCAGCATCGCTTGATATCATCGACTTAACGAATAGGAACTTTCGATATGGTATACAAGTATCACAAGGTGTGACAAACGTACATATTGACAGAAGCACGCTGTCTTCTTGTATTTACGGGCTGTACGTACAAGGAGAAGCTGAAGGAAACATATCTTTGTCATCGGTGGCCATTCATAGCTCTGACCAAGGTATCCACATCTCGTCTCTGATCGGTAGTGTCACCTTGTCAAATGTATCAGTTGTAGATAACTCTTACAGTGGGATATACATGGATAGCATTTCTGGCACAGTAAACATGAGTGGTATTGTATCTCATTCCAACAATGGCGTTGGGATTGGTATTTATTATACTCTTAACGGCACGGTTGATATGAATAATGTCATATCCTATTCCGACGACGGCCATGGAATCTACCTAGAGAGAATAGAAGAAAGAGCCTTGCTCACTGATGTAGTCGCTTTAGGCAATGGAGCCAACGGAGCAGGAATAAACATTTACCACTATGGACAACACGCCAAGTACATCATGGTGAATGTCACATGTCAGGACAGCCAAGGAAAGGGTCTGAGCATAAATGTATACTCTGAAGCAAGAGTGGAGATACATAACAGTCGTGTGCAAGGAAATGACCAAGGAGGGATCGTTGCACACTTCGAAAATACTCAGTCTAGCCTGTTTTCTGCACTTATCCTACACAACAGTGAGATTACCAGTAACTCAAAATTCGCCCTGCACGTGACGGGTAAAGAGACATCACTTGACATTGCTAATAGCACAATCTCCTATAACAGCTGTCCGTATCAACCAGCTGTTGGATTTGAAGGAGAAACGAATGATGTCAATGTTACAAACAATCTCTTTGTCGGTAACAATGCGCGAGAAACATTGTCAATTCTGTTCGAAGATAACTTACAGGAGAACATTATCTTCCATATGGTTGGTAACGTGTTCCGTGACAATATTTACGACACTTCCCAAACTGACGGCAATGCTCAGTACGGCCAGCACCCAGATCTTGCGTCATGTACCGTTGAGATCGGAGGCTACAAGTCCTACTATTATCTAAGGCACAACATGCTGGACAACCCAGACATGAACTACACCATGTGCAGTAGGGTCTCCACAACTTCTCCTGATTGGATGATTGACGCCAGGTATAACTGGTGGGGTACTGCGGCTGAAACAGAGATTCAAGAAAAAATTCATGACTTTGACGACTGGAACGACCGCGCGGCTGTGGAATACTTCCCATACCTGACAGGACCTGACTTATCCTCTCCACCTGCTGACTCTTCCAGCCGAGATGTTACCATGGCAACTGACAACATCGGGGGGAGGCTGTATCATTCACTCCATCTTCAAAAGGATGGAGGTCCTTACACCTTTAAAGCAGATTTAACTGTGTTAAAAAACGCATCGCTTACCATAGACCCGGGGTCTACTATCAAGATACACCCATGTCTTGGTCTGTTGAATCTAGGTTCCCTTGTTGCCCATGGAACACGCACAGAGCCTATCAATTTTGAGCTTACGGATGTACCCGTTCACCAACCCCAGGTCCGGCTGGTGGGAGGGCGGTTCCCTTGGGAAGGTCGTGTGGAGGTGTTCTATAATGGAGAATGGGGGACTGTATGTGGGAAGCAGCCCTGGGACCCACAAGATGCAAATGTTGTCTGTCGTGAGCTAGGATACGGCCCATCTACAGTGTATAGCACGTACTCTTTTGGACGAGGATCGGGACCTATATGGATTGGCTATTACAACAGTCGGCCAGACTGCACGGGGAATGAGATGAGTATATTCAACTGTCTTCGTGGCCCACCCGGTAATGTGTACTCGGGTTGCACGCACCGTTACGATGTTGGAATAAGATGCAAGATGAACACTCATGTATCACCTAGGCCAACATGTCGAATGAAAAAATGGGGAGGGATCACATCTAAATATGCAACCACGGAGGTCCTTACAAACTTGAAGTTCAGCAACACAGGCAACCTGCACGGGCGTTCACACGCAGCCATATCTATTGAGGACAAGCAGGGCACTACAAACATTTCTCACATTGAAATCTCTGAGTGCGTGGGTACTGGAATACAACTACTAGGAGGCAAAACGACACAAAGTGTTAAAAATGTGAATATCTCAGGTTGTAATGGATATGCAGGTGTTTCTCTCACTGGCAGAAAGTCTAGAGTTTTGTTGTCAACAAATATACGTATCACCGACAGTATCTTTACAGCAGGGTCATTTGAACTCACACCGCACACTCGGAGTATTACAAACTGTTTGGCTAATCCTGAATCGATCATGAGGCTCTGTGCCGAGGAGCCTGATCAGCAGCTTAACAATGACATGTGTTTTGTTCAGACAGGACGGACGGGCTCAACATGTTATAAACATCTATACGCAGGTGTGGGTTTCACGGTTGAACTCACGGTCTCATTCGTTCAGTTTCAGTCCTACTCTTCGAGATTACGGGTCTTTGCCGACAGAAGCCAAAGTCAACAGATTGGACAGATTACTCGATCGGATAACGGCAAAACGTACATCCGGTTTGTCTCACAGACAATGATGAGTCTTCAGTACATAGGTTACTACTGGGATAACAACGAGATATTCGGAGAGGTCAGTTTCTATAATGAGACAGATGTTGCAGATCCAACTAAGTACATCATCGAGAACAGCATGGTGGATAACACCAAAGGCACAGTTATCAACGTCACTGCGGCAAATGGCGCAATCTTTGATATCCAACGTAACGTGTTCTTGCATAATCAACCCCATACTGATGACAACGACCAAGCTGTGATCAGAAGTGTTCTAATTGACTCCTATATTAGCGTCAGGAACAACTACATGGCTAACAACTTGATAACAAGCCTATCTATCGACTTGACAAACCAGAAACGTGGAAACATAACGGTTCTGGACAACCTTTTCTTCAGAAACACCGCCAAGACTACCATAATTGTGACAGGAGCCAGCTCAAGTTCGACACAACAACCCGTATTGATAGACAACAACGTCTTCTCAAGCAATGATGTCGGTTCCAATGAAAATGTGGTAAAGTTCGAGAATGTCGATGGACAACTGAGCAACAACATTTTCTCTAACAACTTGGGGCAACACGTTGTAACCTGGGAAGGACGAAGTAGAACAAATAGTCTGCAGAGATGTGAGAACAATCTGTTCTACGACAACATCGCACTGACTCCAGGGGAGAAGTACACCTTGGTTGTCTCGGGCCGAGATGTCCAACTGCACGGGAACGTCCTCACCAACCCGGCGAACGACGCTGAGCTGGCAACGTCGGACAGAACCAGGTATTATCCCGTAAATGCTACCCTTAACTGGTGGGGATTCAACTCTACATCTGACATATCCTCAAGAATCAGAGACAAAAGCGATAGAGGGTACTGGGCAGAGGCACACTTTCAACCATGGATACAGGAGGAACCAACTGACGGTAGGCTTACTCAGGAACATTTGCCCCTTTTACTTTAAGTTGTAAAACGTTTGGTAAAATAGCGTTTATATTAATTGACATCTAATCCCTATTTTGCACAACCATCATTTTTGTTGATTAGCTATAGGAAACCATTTGTATAAAAAAGATTCAATCTATAATTTGATTACCACTTACTCACTATTACGAGGAAAATGCATATCAGAAATAAGATTTGATGTCAGTGTGTGTCTCAGCAAGATGCATCTAAAAATTAAAGTAAACTTTCTAGCCTATGGCTACTTAAAGGTTTCAGATATTCTGATGTTGCTTCAATGTTACTTGACATAGGTCCCTGCGGTTTGGGATGGACCTACAGCCAGACGTTCAGCACCTGTTACAGGTACATGGGCGGAGCACAGTCTTGGGACGGCGCTGTACAGTCCTGCAAGGTGCGACGTCAAAAGTCGTGGTCACTTGGTTTTAGCCATCAATTGCCGATTAAAACTATTTACTCGATATAGAATGCGAGATATCAACACATAGGAGTGATATACCACATGCAATCTTGAAGTTAGACTTTTGTTAACAATGACAGTGAAATCCGGCAACTTTTCCCTTAGGCTCAGTATTCTGTACTATCCAAGAGGTTTGCTGGTCCCGAAAAGAACTTCATCGACAGCTTGTTGATCGCACGAAAAGTAGACTTCGTACCAGATGTACCTGTTTGGATGGACAACGAAATGCAGGTATATCTGAAATGTATAACGAAGAAACTTGAAACGTATAGTATACTTTCCCATTTTCCTAACTATCTAAAATAATCACAAACTAGATTTTACTGACTTCCATGTTTCTACATTCATTTCCAACAATCTGCCGTATGTAAGGCAATTTGCAATATATAATTGAACATACATGTAAGTATATATTTTGTTAACATTTGTCTTTTCTGTCATTTTTCAATAGGGGCAGGAAAATGCAACGGTGAACTGTAAAGTATATCTTCGGGACTCCCAAGAAGCTGTTCAGGGTGTATCGTGTAACTCATTCTTCCCATACATCTGCAAGAGACCTGTTGGTAAGGGCCCAATGATTTACATGTATTTTGATTCTATACTTACTCATTGCTACACCATTCAGTAACAAATGTTATTGTATGATGAACTTCCTAACTCCAGGTACGTAGTATTTTCTGTGTACGTGTTTTTGTGTGTGTGTGTGTGTGTGTGTGTGTGTGTGTGTGTGTGTGTGTGTGTACGCACGCTCGTGTGTTTTTGTGCCTGCCTGTGTATCTGTAAAGCCAGTTAACGTGTGGGTTCCATTATAGCTAACCAAATACGCGGGCACAGAACCTCAATATGAGGGTCGCATTACGTTGACTCGTATTATTGATTAAAATATTTGCGCGAATTAATGCACGAAAAGTACCTCAGACTTTCATGTTTTTTGTTTTTATTTTTCATGACAGCTGATGACTGCCCGAACTCTTGCTCTCATCACGGACGTTGTGAAGGAGAAACCTGCATCTGCGGGCGAGGCTGGGAGGGAGAGGACTGTTCTAAATTCACCTGTAACGACAGGAATAGCTGTGGAGAGTTTGGCACCTGCGTAGGACCGAATATCTGCAGGTGCCGAAATGGATGGCAGGTTCGAACACACATTGTTTAGTATCAAATGTCTTTGCGGTGCGACAATGGTCTCCCTGTATACGTAACACCGTCAAGTATTAGAATGCAATCTTTCTACAATATTTCTCCTACATCCGGGGTCCCATAGTCGCGCACTACAGTTCCACCACAAAAGATTTACAGAAACAGCATCGTTAAAATAAGACGTTTCTTCACGGCATTATCTCTGTCTGTCTCTCTCTCTCTCTCTCTCTGTCCCCCTCTCTCAGTCTCTCTATATATATTGGTTTCTATCTATATATATCCAAATACCTATATTAGCTCTCTCTCTCTCTCTCTCTCTCTCTCTCTCT